TTTATTTAGAAAATCAAATGAACTGATTATACACGGATTGAATTCTAATGCAAGTAAGATATAGTAGTGTGTATGTCACAGGTTGAAAGTGTTGAGGGGGTTTGATCAATAAAAAGCAGAAGGGGCAAAAAGGGGATACAATTTAATAAAATATTTACAAAAAGGTCCATTAAAAAAGGTGATAAAACCCAAAGTCACACGTTCGTCCGCACTGGCCTCCACTCTTCTCTGTCCCGGGGCCGGGCCGCAGTCCCGCCAGCCACTCGCCGACCACGGGTCGCCACTGGGCACCTGCGGAGAGCCGGCACATCCCGGTCATCACTTTCCCACATGTATACGTCTTTTACCCGAAATGTCTAATCCCATCAACCAATGATATTCAAAGGAAAAAAATTGAGAAACTGTTAGGGGTGCACAAACTTTCACACCACCGTAAAAGGGAATCCAGGGCCGCACTTTGCCCATGTCATCGTTTCTGATGTGCACGCACCAACACTGCCCCCTGCTGGCTGGTCTGCGCCTGCGCGATGAACAGTGCTCTGACCCAGGATATTATCCGGATCATGTGTTTAGTGGGGCAATAATTTTACTCTGCGTTTGTGTAATTCTATCTTTGTCACAGCATTCCAATGTTAGTAAGTACATTACATAATAAGATATCCTTTATTCGTCCCACATTGGTGAAATAATCTATATCTAAATGTATCTAAATTATCTAATTTAAATGTATTTACTTCAGTGTAAAGACGGTTTGATTGTCATCCAGGTGTTCCCAGTACAGATTACTTTGAGGGGTTTTTAAGCTGGTTAAACGTCTCGACTCTGAAAACTGTCCAGATACTTTTGAAAGCTGCTCTTTCGCTCGGAAGGAATGGGGAAGATTGTGATTCTACCTTTGGATTATCAATAATTAATAATTATTATTAAGAAGTGAGACGCCGAACACACCGGCGCATCAAAACCCCGACCAACACCATCCATTCACTCACTTATTACATTCATACCTATTGTGCATGTTTTCAGTGGTAGGGGAAACCGTAGCACCCGGAAGAAACCTAGGCAGACACAGGGAGAAGATGTAAACTCCACCCAGAAAGACCCTGTTCTGACCGGGATTCATGTCAGGTAGTTGTCAAAATAATACATGAAAGAATAAATAAATGTTGCATTCTGCAAAAAATTAGACACAGGTACGTATGGATGGAGACACAGGTACATATAGACAGAGACACATGTACATACAGATGGAGACACAGGTACATAATACAGTGGGGCAAAAAAGTATTTAGTCAGCCACCGATTGTGCAAGTTCTCCCACTTAAAATGATGACAGAGGTCTGTAATTTTCATCATAGGTACACTTCAACTGTGAGAGACAGAATGTGAAAAAAAATCCAGGAATTCACATTGTAAGATTTTTAGAGAATTTATTTGTAAATTATGGTGGAAAATAAGTATTTGGTCACCTCAAACAAGGAAGATCTCTGGCTCTCACAGACCTGTAACTTCTTCTGTCCTCCACTCGTTACCTGTATTAATGGCACCTGTTTGAACTTGTTATCTGTATAAAAGACACCTGTCCACAGCCTCAAACAGTCAGACTCCAAACTCCACTATGGCCAAGACCAAAGAGCTGTCGAAGGACACCAGGAAAAGAATTGTAGACCTGCACCAGACTGGGAAGAGTGAATCTACAATAGGCAAGCAGCTTGGTGTGAACAAAGCAACTGTGGGAGCAATTATCAGAAAATGGAAGACATACAAGTCCACTGATAATCTCCCTCGATCTGGGGCTCCACGCAAGATCTCATCCTGTGGGGTCAAAATGATCATGAGAACGGTGGTCAAAAATCCCAGTACCACCACTAACCCTAACCCGTCTGAAGTTTGCCAGAGAGCACATGGATGATACAGCAGAGGATTGGGAGAATGTCATGTGGTCAGATGAAACCAAAGTAGAACTGTTTGGTATAAACTCAACTAAACACTGAGTTGCATCCCAAGAACACCATACCTACTGTGAAGCATGGGGGTGGAAACGTCATGCTTTGGGGCTGTTTTTCTGCTAAGGGGACAGGAAAGAATGAATGGGGCCATGTATTGTGAGATTTTGAGCCAAAACCTTCTTCCATCAGTGAGAGCTTTGAAGATGAAACGTGGCTGGGTCTTCCAGCATGACAATGATCCCAAACACACCGCCCGGCCAACGAAGGAGTGGCTCCGTAAGAAGCATTTGAAAGTCCTGGAGTGGCCTAGCCAGTCTCCAGACCTCAACCCCATTGAAAATCTGTGAAGGGAGTTGAAAGTCTGTGTTGCTCGGCGACAGCCCCAAAACATCACTGCTCTCGAGAAGATCTGCATGGAGGAATGGGCCAAAATACCAGCTACTGTGTGTGCAAACCTGGTAAAGACCTATAGTAATCGTTTGACCTCTGACCTATAGTAATCGTTGACCTCTGGGGGTGACAGTAGCTCAGTTGGTAGAGCATTGGCCTTAGAGCCTGAAGGTCGTGGGTTCAATCCCACAGTAAGACCTACTTCACGACTCCCGCTGATGACTGCTGTCGTTGTGTCCTTGGGCAAGACACTTAACCCCACTTTGCCTGAAGCTCCCACTGAAAGATCTCAGCTCCTGTGGACTCACCACCTGCAGGAGGATCAGTGAGGGGCTGGTGCTCTGTGTACTGGGTGGCATCTCTGGCCACCCCCCCGACCCAGAAATGGATTAAGGGGAAGAAAATGGATGGATGGATGACCTCTGTTATTGCCAACAAAGGTTATATTACAAAATATTGAGTTGAATTTTTTTTATTGACCAAATACTTATTTTCCACCATAATTTACAAATACATTCTTTAAAAATCCTACAATGTGAATTCCTGGATTTATTTTTCACATTCTGTCTCACAGTTGAAGTGTACCTATGATGAAAATTACAGACCTCTGTCTTTATTTTAAGTGGGAGAACTTGCACAATCGGTGGCTGACTAAATACTTTTTTGCCCCACTGTAGAGACAGAGACTCCGGCGAAACACATGAGGGTGGGGCAGACAATCAAACAGGGGAACAGGGCGTAAAAAGTAAAAAAGAAACCACACAGAACTGACGTAAAAATAAAACCAAAGTACAAAATCCACACAAAATCCACACAATGATATTTTTAAAAGCTGCTCTTTTGCTCGGGAGGAATGACGTCTGTGATACTACCTTGATTGTCAATAATTATTCATAAAACAGAACAACTTAGTTTCTTCCATTGTCAGTGAACAGTAAATTTAGACTTTAAATTTGCTTTGACTGGTGATAATAAATAATGCATACAAATATTCACACAGGAGAAACATAGAGCTGGTTGTCATGTTCGACAGTGGCATTAGACCCAGAAGAGCCTGCACTGGTCTCATTTAGGTCAGTGCTAATATAGGTTCTTATCATCTTGGCCCAGCTGTACGTTACAGACCACAGTGACCACAGTGTTTCTCCTCATGCATCATCAGCTCTCACCGGTCAAACACAAATTACTATTGATTTTTTATCCATAAATGTAGGTCAGCAGTGTACTGACAGCCTGCACATCTTTAGAGCAGAGATCTCCAACCTTTTTCACACTGAGAGAAACTTTTTCAGGACAAATATCGCAGAGAGCGACGCATTTAAGCGGTTCAAAAGAGACTGTATGATGACATGCCATGGATTGATTTATGGGTTTCTAACTGTACCAAATCTACTATCCATTTATTAACACAAAGTTAATTATGCAGTTGTAGGCATGGGAAGTGTGATATTCCTTTGAGGAGCTACTTGGAAGGGGATGGCGAGCTACTGATAGTTCCTGAGCTGCAGGTTGGAGATTGGTGCTTTAGAGTCTGTAGCTAGTGTTACACATGATTATCAAATTAATCTTATTTCATATTTTCATATTTTATTTCAAACATGCACCAAAAAATATAAACACCTGTACAGTAGATGCTTTGGATGAAGCCGTGTGTGTGTGTGTTACTTTTCTATTGTTGGAAGTTTATTATAACACTGCCCTTCATCCAACCCCTTTTAAGCACTTACAAAGATATATTATTTTGTTCAGTTGATTCATGCTGTATTTGTCCTGTTAAGCCCTTTCATACTTCTGCCACTTCTGTCATCAGGACTCGCTCAATTCTGAAACAACTAGAACTACCAAAGCCGTCATTTTGACTGCTCCCATTCAAGCCAACTGAGTTCTGAAAACTCAAAAATGTAATTTATAACGATTCTACTCAAAAACAGCTGAATACAGTAACTTTAAATACAGCACAAAACAGTTTGTTGAAAGGCTAATGCTAACGACTGACAGTTAACAGTCTGTTGCTATGGTAACTAGCTCTTGCTTTTCCCTGGCGGAAAACTGTAAACAAACTAAACATAGAAAGATGAAAAGTCACAAAATTATGAAGACCAAAAACGTAGTAAAAACGGAGTAGTTACACTTCTAAAATGAAAATCTGTTAAACTGATTGTTCTGGGAGTTCTCCTGTGCCTCTGACAGGTGTGGGCTCATGACGTCAGCAAGGTGCCACCCATGGGCGCCTCTTCTGTCTCCCCTCTCCAGCCTCAGCTCCGCTCTCCCGGACTCTGAGCTCTCTGAACCAGCATGTCTAACCTCTAACTTTTATCTTGTTTAAAACCTTTTTTTTATATATATCTCTTAAATGTCCCAAAACCAGACGCAGAACCTCCACGCTCCGCTCCAATCTGCCACGTAATCACTTTGACTTTTGGACACAGGGCAGCGTGACAACTTTCCACCCGGTAAGTTTCTTCTGACTAATGTTTGTATGAGAGTTTTTACAGCTCTAATTTCATCTTTACGTGCTTTTAAACGCTGTTGTCACACATACACACAACAGGGCAGTCGTGAAATCAAACTGAACTCTGTAATTATCGCTAAAATAACATGTAATTTCACTCGTAAAACCTTTGAGACTGGGGGTGCAAAATGGCGTGGAGCGTGGTGTAATGATTAACCTGGTATCCCGCGGGGGGTGGACAGATAGACTGCGTGTTTTGGGTGCTTTTTGCGGTTGTTTGGGCTACAGTTTGTCCGGGGAAAGGAGCAGGAGAGGCGGTGCGCAGGCAGAGCTGTCAGCGTGGCCAGAGCACGGCGTGTCTGTGCAGGAAAAGCCGCCTCCAGAGCGCTGACGCATGGGGAGAAGGAGGAGGGACACCCGGGTGGGGAACTGGGACAATGTTAAAGCTGGGGCACTTAACTTTTTTGTTTTATAAATATTATGGGTTTTGTTCCAACAGAAAGTCTTGTATGTAAAAAGTAATAGCATATGAACAAGTCAGACCACTACATGCTGTCTTCGTGTTATGAGAAAATATGTTATCCTTAGTGTTGGAAGATTGAGGGATTCTTTATTGGTCCCATAGGAAGGAAATGTCAGTGTTGCATCACCAGTTACAGAACAGTAGGAATGAGGAGCACACAGCACAAGATAGCATATACATAATAAACAAGCAAGTGTAAAATCTATAGCTATAGCAAGATTATTAGTGCAAGAAATATATATAGTTGTGTATGTCTACATTTGTGCATGTTAGCAGCTGTAGTGTATGGGGCAGAGTGACTAAAGTAACTGGTTATATTTTGCATATTCTGACATTAGTTCAAGATATTGCACAGATCTTCGACATGTGAGGTCAGGTGGGTCTGCAGTGTTCGTTAGTCCTCATCGTTCGTTGTACAGTCTGACAGGAGCAGAAAGGAAAGATCTGTGAAACCTCTCCTTCTCACAGCAAGGGTACAGGCAGAGCCATGTGAGTCACAAAAGTCAAATTTTAGTCTTAGTTCATATGAAACGGGTTGAATGAGTCTCTCACAAAGTTCTTTGTCAGCACAACTATGGTTTTATTATTTTTTCCCACAGGTGTCTACAAGTGGGGACAAAATTCAAAGACATGTGTGTGACGTTAGCCTATAGGCAGGACTTTCAGACTAATATGGCGTGTATTAAACCTGTAGAGCAAGTGTCTCTGTCAGTCTGTTTGATTTGCCTGATACCGAAGACATAACACTTCATTTAAAGTTCTCCCTTGACATCCACGCTCTCAAAGTTGTTTTTAGTTTATTAATGTGCAGTCTCGGAATCCTCCGTCTGTGTCTTTACTAGCAGCAGGTGACACCACGGTGCAATGTCTGAATGTTTGATGAACAGGTTTGAGAGGTTCTTTTGCCTCTGGGCTCAGTCTGAAAGTGAAAGGGCTCCCACCACATCCTGCTCGTCACACATCAGAAACTATTACGCTGTGACTAGAAAGACTACACAGGGTTTGTCTTCATTTCAATGGGTCATTATGAGGAGCGTAAATAGGGCCACTCATTGCGATTCTTAACATATTGCAACTCAAGTATTGTGATTAAATTCTGTGATATATTGAGATTCATGTCCCTCATATTATTCAGACGTGACAAATATGGAGAAAAATAAGACTAGTATTTGATTTACTTTTTCAACCATCACATGAAAAATTTGAAAAAAGGCTGCTTCTATAATTAAAGCTGACTTCCTGACTTTCTGTCCATGTCAATAGTTCCTGGTTCTTAAACAGTTTGGCTCTATCACTAGTTTTCACATACATATATTTTTAGATGTTTACTGTAAATCAACTTTCTCAAAAAGAAAAGTGAAAAGAGGATCACCCTCACTTGGCCAATCCGCTCTCAGTCCGAAGTGTCAAATAGAGACTCACAGGGATCTTTCTTACTCACCGTGTTTTCAAATGATATGAAGATGACACAGAGCTGATATTTAGAAGAACAGGGTCTTTCTGAGTGAAGTTTGCATGTTCTCCCTGTGTCTGCGTAGGTTTCCTCCGGGTGCTCCGGTTTCCCCTACCACTAAAAACATGTACAATAGTTCTGGCATGCGCCTCCTTTACTGGCGACCCCGCTCCCATCTCTGTGTGGAGTGAGAAACAAATGCCCAAAAAATAACAATTGTAAAGCGCTTTGTGACTCTGGTCTGTGAAAGGCGGTATATAAATAAAGATTACTTACTTACTTACTTAAGATGTAAAGTTATGTACCCCAGCTTTAAGTTATTTAAGAGTCAAGAGAATATTTTTTTTCCCCACAGTGAAAGTAAATCTGCAACATTTTCATAAAAAAGGGTGGCATACAGTAAATAATGTGTGAAATAATAATTCCTTGGAGTGAAAACCTGAGGAGACCCAGTGAGTGTCGTGGGAAAAGGCTAAGGCTGTGGTAAATGTGGCTATAGTGCGACCTCAATGTTAATTATGTACATGTTGTTTATTGCTTTAAATATTTGGCTCCAGGTTTGGGGCGATGTCGTCTCGCCAGAGGTCGGAGCAGTGCCGCATCTGTGGGGGGGCCCTCCAGGGGAACCAGAGGCGCTGGCTCTTCTCCGGGAACAAGAAGAAGCAGGTCCTGACCCCGAGCGGCTCTGTGAGGGGCCCTAGCCGCAGTTCCAGCCGGGGCCAGACCCAGTCCAGCTGCAGCAGTCCCTGGGGTCAGTACAGAAACATCCTGTCATTCCATAACCATGAAAGTGTGTACTCTAGGTTTAGACTTGAATGCTCGAAAGTTTACACACCCAGGAAGAATGCCTCTAATTTAACCCATCAAAACAATTTCAAGCCACAAAAAGGGCACAGTAAAAACTAGCTCCTTGCTCTAAAGCATTTTTCTTCTTTCACTAGTTTTCACTTGTATGTGTTTATGGCCTTCGACAGATGAAAAAGGGAGGACCACCCTCTCTCAGCCAATCAGCTCTCTGCCCAAAGCATTAAATAGTGACTCTTTGGGCACAAACCCTTTGTCTGTAAAAATGCGCTATATAATTAATCATTCCTTACTTACTTACAAAACATAATATTTGTGTACTCAAAGGAAACACAAAAGATAAGAAATCTGTTCAAAAAAAATTTATTTGACAAGAATCTTTCTATCTGGCAAATTTTTTATTTAGGAGAGTTCGGTGCCTCAGCTTTAAGGGCCAAAATAGACCCAAATCATGCTGTTCTTCCTCTCCACAGGTAGCACGATGTCCCTGAGCTCCTCCTCTTCTTTGACCAGATCGCAGCTGTCTCGAAACTCCCCGAAGAGCTTCGACCTGCTGTCCGTCCTCACGCACATCCTGGGCGCCTCGGTCTCCCGTGGCGACGCGCACACTAGCGAGTTCATCTGCGGCAAGTGCGCCTCGATGCTGGAGCGCGTCTTCAAGTACGACTCGGTCATTGCTAGAGTCCGCGTCCTCTCCTCCGAGCGCCTGCAGAAGCTGGCGCAGGAGCGAGACAAGATCCGCCAATGGGTTCGCTGCAGCTACGCGGACAGGAACCCGCGCGACTACTACGCCAACCGCGGCAGCACCAGCGAAGAGGACTGCGACTGGGAGAAGGACGGGTACAGGGAGATGCTACAAGAGAACATGGCGTTGTCAGAGTATGAATGCTGGTCTGAGAAGTGGGATACCTGCCCCTACTTCATCCAAACCGGGAAAAGGTGTCGCAAGGGCAAAGGGTGCGAAGGCTGTGACGCTCTCAGAGTCTCCGATTACGACTACGAGTCGGTCTGCGGCGTTCCCAGGCACCTCCCGTCTCAGTGCTTCTCCCCGTCGTTAGCGCTTTCCAGAGATAAGTCGCAGAGCATGCCTCTAAACTGGCAGAAGCCCAGGTCCACGTGCTGCTCCAGCCCTGCCTCGCTGGCCGGCTCCACCATCTCACTGCCGTCGCGCACAGAATCGGTGCGGTCGCTGGACTCGCTGGACGGGAAAGACTCGCCACAGGGTCTGACGATGGCGATGCTGCTGAAGGAGATCGGGGAGATCCAGGGGAAGCCGCTGCAGTCTCCGGCAGGAAGCAGGATTCCTGTGTTGGACCGGGACGGAAACAGTGGAGAGAGAAGAAGAAGGAAGCAAGTTCTGAACAGAGTTTTGGATTTTGAAAATGGAGAGGAGGAAGACGTAGATGTGCTGCTGGAGCTCAGGGACGAGTTCTTACCTCTACATGGACAGGTGAGAGTTTAAGTTTTATAACCCATTTCGATAGAAAATTCCAGTGATATTTGTTTTAAAGGAGACTCAATGTAATGAGACTATTTACTAAGTGAAATTTTAGCTTAGGTAGAGTACTAAGGGTAAAAAAAATGCTTCCCACCTGTAACTCCTTATGCTACCACCAGAGGGAGTAATAGCTTATGCTTTCAATTATCGTCTGCAAACACAGACATTGATTGATTGATTGTACGTTATTGGGGAAGGATGTGTGAGCTCGATGAGTTTGAAAGCCGAACATTTAGACAGAAAGGACAGGGGAACGTGTTTGCACCTGATGTGGTTGTTTTTGAGAAGGGAGCAATGTTTACAAGATTTCGGAGAGCTTTTTTTGGGGGGAAATTTAACGCTTTGAAAAGTATTGTTGGTGTAATGTACCTGAGCAGTAGCCTGGTCGTACCACACCATAGTACAAATAACATTTCGTACTAAGCTCTGGAGATGCGCCATTGAGCTCCGTGAACAGGTGGGAGGGGTTAACTCCTTTTGGAAATTGCAACCTCCAATTCATTTGAATGTAAACTTGCATAGTTGGAATGAACACATTTTGGAGTCTGATAACTGTTACTTATAAAGATTTTTATTTATTTCAACCCAATTTTGTAGTTTTAACAAGCAAAAACCCTGTCTGGCCCTGGATAATCCTGATAATCCTGTGCATAAATGTATGGCTGCATTGCGTTGTCCTTTCGTGTTTGCTCATGGCCTACAGTAATGTCACAACGTTCTGGGTAAACTTTGGTTTGTTTTGGTTTCCACGCAGCCTTCTAACAGTTTAAACTTGTTTTACAGAGATGGGATCAGTATAAAAACATATGAAAAAAACAATGCATCAAAAGGGCTTGGGTTTAGTAGATCATACCCCCGTGAGTAATGACTACATAGATTCATATATTATCTGTCTTTCCTTCCTGCTGCTGTCAGACTGTACAATGAGGACTGCTGAGTCTCTACATGTGCCAATCCTCTAGTCACTTTACCTTCTGCTGTTGTTTCTATCGTTTTTTCTGGTCATATTCTCTGCTGCTAAAGTACAATAGAAACATCTGTAAATAACTCCTGCTGACTACAGTCAATTCAATTTCAATTCAATCGAAATCATTGTATTCTTGTATCGCCCTAAATCACAACAGTAGTTATCTCGGAGGACTTTACAGAGCAGTTGATTCACAAACGCAGATCAGAGAATAAAACCGTTCAAATGCATTATATTCAATGATAAAAAACATATACTAATGCGCATATACGCTAACAGTTTTTATCCACAAGCTGTTATCAGTGTGAACAGAGCACTTTAATGATTTGCACTTGTTTTGAACTGTTTTAGTCGATCGATTTCACAGTGACTTTTGTTTACTGTTTTATTTGTTTTATTTTTGTCTTTTAATGTTGTTTTATGTCTGTATTTGTCTGTGCACACTGGAGACTTTTCGCTAATGTATTCCTATGTGGTTTTTTTACTGCAAATGGCAAATAAACTGAATCTGAATCTGAATCTGAATCTACTGTAGAGCCGTTGGTCCATAAGGGGCCGATGACCATAAATATATACTTCACAAGTGACTTATCCTTGAACCAAGCGCAACGATGGCTTCAGAGTTTTATTATCTTATTATTACTATGATCTTGATAATGGATCCTGTTTGAGGTGTGCATAACCTAAGTGCTCTTATTGTCTCCTCTTATTCTGCTGTAACGTGCAGCTATGACAATGACATTTCCACTGAGGGACGAAAGGTTTGGTCTTATCTATGTTTTTCAAAAAGTAGATTTAAAAGTGAAGTGAAGTCTTGTGAACCAACACAAGTCTGTCCTTTCTGTCATAACTTTGTAGAAGCCTTGTCATTGTCTTAAAAATACTACTTGTGATTGGTTAAATTAGTTTCCAGGTTATTTTGTAGCTGTTTATCGGCCGCTTTGTTCTCTAAAAGATTGTGTGTCATAAAAGGTAAAGAATGGTTTTGAGGCAAACGGCAGAAGTAAAGATGAGTCTTTTTATCTAAACATTTTGACACTCACTGCGTCTGGGGTTAGACACAACGCGCTTTTGCACTACCCTCATAAGTCTTTGCACTGCTGTTTAATGTGCAGACCATAGCAAATGTGACGAAAGCACATGAATCACAATATATCACAGAAATGAATCATCATGTCTGTATTCCAGTATGTTAAGAATCACAGTAATGTTGAATTGTGGCTCAAATATGCCAATAAGGTCACATTTTTGCCAGTTTCCACCCCCACTATGAAGTTCATTCAGGCAAATAACTTAACTTAATAATAATTTTTTCCTTTATTCGGCGGCAGCAGATTTAGATGTATTTATAATTTGTTACACCTTCGTTGATGTATACACACAAACATGAGGAATAACTAACAGTTTCTTCATGTAGTTATATATTTACAACTTGAATTACAAAATATCAGTTCAAAATGCAGTGGAAACCAGACTCTCAACACTCCTTTTTTTTGTCAATCAGCTTTTATTTGTAGAACGCCTTTCCTACACAAAGCAACACAAAGCGCCTCACAACCCATATCACATCAAGCAAATAAACATTAAAATCTAATATTAAAATGGCAACCAGTGGAAGACTAATAATGGTTCCATTCAAACATCTGCTTGTCTCATGTTGGATAGTATTTGACTTGGCTCCTCTAAGTTGCATTCATCAATAGTTTTGTTGTATTTCCTTCTACACAGAGCAGCGGAGGGCGCCCCCTGCAGGTGGTGAAGCTGCTCAGAACTCAGCTGGACCAGGCTCAGTCTCGGATCAAGACTTTGGAAGACCAGATTCAACACGGGACCAAATCAGAGGTGCTCAACGGATCGGGGGACTATGTGAGTCTAACATGCAGATATGCTTAAAGCTGGGTTACCTAACTTTCTAACCAGAGGAAATGAAAAAAGTGTGCTTCTTTCACCAGTTTTCACATGTATTTTAGCCCCTGTCCCAACCAACGTCCCTCGGCCAATCAGCTCTGAGCACAAAGACCCAAACAGTGACTCTCAGGGCTCTTTCTTACAAGCTGTGTGGAGAATACTGAAAATCTATTCAGGCACAAAACACTATATACCTGCTTCAAAATCCATGTTGTTTAATGGTCCAGTCAGAGTCCTGTCTTATGAATACTTGGGATATTGTTATTCTCAGATATTTCTTACTTTGATTTAGACTCTAGAGGAAAGGATGGAGGGGGAGATTGACAGATGGATCGGAGCAGCGCGTGCAGTGATGTTTATAACAAATAATACCACTGTGACATTTGGGCATCAGTTAAAGAGTAAATGAAAACATTGAACTATCTAGAGCTTCTGTGTTTCTCTCTAATAATTTAGCTGCTTCAATATCATTCAATTCATGTTTTTAACGCCCTGAATCACAACAGTAGTTCTCTCGGAGGACTTCACAAAACTGTCAGTTTGCCAACACAGATCAGAGAATCAAACAGTTCAAAAACAGGAAATTCAATGATTAAAAAAACACATTTACGGTCATCCTCTTATGGACCAATGGCACCAGGTACCATGATTATTAAAGGGTCACAACTGTCCATTTTAAGTGACATGTATTTAGTATTGTAATATGTGTGTTTGATTGACAGCTCAGGTTGTAATGGTTTTTCAGATCAGAGCTGGTTTTAGGGCGGGTCTTTGTACACGTGTGTGTGCGTGTATATGAGGTGTGTGTCTGTGTGTGTGCGCGTTATGTGAGGTGTGTGTACACTGCTGTATTTGTATGCGTTCTGGGTGTGGTGTTAAACATAATATTGACAGTCTCTGGTTCAAACTTTATGAATGAGTGGAACGTTTTTACAGTCGTGGAAATCTTAATTTAGGTCTGAATACATTTACATTATATACATTACTCTGAAGAAGGGCTGTGATTCTTTTGAATAATCCATTTACTTCTTGGATCATTCAGTTCAGGGTGAATGAGAGCGTGTCTGAGTGCGAGTGTGGGACTGCGGATGCAAATCAGCCCAAGGCCACCATCCAGAGCGGTGTGTTCATTAACATGCACTGTCCCAACCAATTAAATAAATAAATATCCAGGATGTGCAGATGTAGTTTGTTTTGTTCCTTTTGTGTCCTTGTTCAATACTATTATCATTGTCATTTGTAAAGGTTGATTGGGGGTTGTGGTTCTTTATAGCCCACTTTTTTGTGCAGTGTTTTTACTGTTCACATAAATAAATAAGCATATAAATATAATTGGCTTTGCTATAACTATGAAACTTTGATGAATGAAGTATAAATGTATAATTGTGTTTCTGTTCAAATGTGGCGGCGTGTTTGACAAGGGGCCAAAAACCTTCATTGTTTAGTGTATTGATAAAATTAGGATGCTTTTTCAACTGGAAATCTCTCTAAAGTTTCAAACATCTAGGATATTGCAAATCACAATCACATATCGGTCAAAAAAATCAGTTGGATATTCCCAAAGTCTTGCAGCTTTTTTCCTTGTGTCGCACTGAAGCAGTTTTAGATATTTCTTCAGCTTTTGCCCAGAGCTGTGTCCCATGATCACATTCCTTTGTTTCTTACATATTAGCTGCTTTTATCTGTGAGAGAAAGACCGAGATTTTTCATGAACTGGAAACGTGGGAACAAAAACCTGCTAATGAGACGCATCCGCACGTCCCAACACGACATCATTTACATAAACACACTTTAAAGAAGTGTAGTGATTTCATAAAACTTTTAAGCAACTATGGTTAAAGTTCTAACTTCATTCTAACCATGTGCAGAAGCCTGTACTTTTCCACTTCATGTTTTGTCTATCTGAAGGCCAAGCTACAAGCACACTGTGGCAGCTGCTGATTGGAGGTGTCTGTTTCTCCTGAGTGTGTTATAATCCGTAATTTAATTGAAAACTTGAGCTCATTGATTCAGCTTGTGTATGAATTCAGGCCGTAAAAAGTGCTGAGTAGAGACTTTGCCCGCTCTCCACTCACAGAACGAGGAGCGGTGCTGTTACAAACGGGCTGCCTAAACACAGTAGCCTGTTAGCATAAAGTGGCTATACATCAAGTATATTGATTGCTCATTTGTGCATTTTTATTTGTGAAATTGTATAAACTTTTCTTTAGGGAATAGTCTGTTCTGTTGAGAATCCCATTGAAATAGAGGCGTTTTTTGAACATACTCGGTTTACTTTTGATTTGTAAACGTACTCAATATCAGGACATGTGGGACCTACCTAACATTGAAGGAGTCCTGAAACATTGGTTGATCAAACCAGTCATCCTCCCATAGATGAAGATCTGCTCTTCCTTGGACTTTCTCTTTCTCTTCTGTTTTTTAATTCTTTATGTTGTCATTGTCGACTTACTGTTTTTACTTTTACCTAACTGTGTTTGTATGTTTCTACCTGCCTTAGTACAATGAATGCCATTTACCTTTTGTGCTAATTCCAGCATATTTGACGCTGTTTGCAGACACATTGATTAATATGTTCTGTCCTAAATTCAAATACATAAATAAATAAATAGAATAAAATTGTAACATTGTTCAAATCTCTTCAGTAGTTTTGTGTATGATGAGTGTCTTTAAATAGCAACTGATCTATTCTGTTGTCATATTTGAGCCGTGATTGTCGATTTATCTCTGTTCCAGCCGTCTGACTCTGGCCTGGTGTCTCCTCTGCAGATTCTGGGCCTCTCTCTCCGCAGCAGAGAGCGCCTCCTGCAGGTGAGACGTCGTCACTGCATCCTGCTTTAGCTTCAGTGAGGCACACAACAGACTGAGCTCAGGAATGTGTCCAGAGGCTCCACCAAAACACACACCTCCTGTTGTTATTACACATCAACGGTTTGGCTTCACACATTAGACACAGTTGGATTTGTCTTGTTGCTGCGTCCATGTGACAGCACAACAGTCCAAAAAGCTGATAGTTTCAGATTATGGTGGGGAGCAGCTAAGACATGCTCTCACAGACATATGTAAACTACCCTAACCCTAAAAGTAACCTTTTAAGATTGATTTAATCTAAAACTAGAACATTTTTGCTCTTAAAAACTTTTGACTTTTTCTGTTTCTATTTGTAGTTCTTTTCTATGTCATTGTCTTTTCTCTTTCATGTGAGTAGTTCTACCTCTTACTTTAGATTTTAATGTAAAATTCAAATGCATTTCGATCATAGTAAAAGCCTTTTCTTTTTAAGGTCTTGTTGGCGTACTAGTTAGCATAGCAGCACACTGTTAACATGCAGCTGTTTAGTCTCTCAACAAACTGTTTCTTCTGTATTTTAAGTTATATTCACCAGTTTTTGCACTTATTAAAACTTAATTACTTATCACATCTGTTGTAAAACTAAACACAATGTGGGCACATTTCTCAGAAGTTTTGAATGGGAGTAGTCAAAATGAGTCCTAGTGTTAATTGATACAGAAATTCCATTCTCTATAGATCATTTTAACACCAACCTACAAAGTTAATATTATTTCTATATTTTGTTTTATTTTCTACCACATATACATCGAATACGGTTTGTTAGTTTTTGCTAGAATGATCTAAAAAGAGTGAAATGGAATTTCTGTATCAATTCAAAAAAATGTTTTAGCTTGGAGTATTACAGTACAAGTCTGTTTAGAGCTAATTTCTCTGTAATTCTTGAAACAATCCACATAAAACAAAATCTTCTTTCTCGGCACATATCAACAAGGGTCCCATTATTTTCTCCTAAAGGTTCAAAGTGGTGACGATATTGAAAACATATGCATGATTTTGGACAGGAAAGGACTACTGCTGCCTGATAATGCCACTCATGACCCCTAAGTGGCGCCAAAGATCTAATAAAACCATCCTACACTTTTAGAAATGCCTTTACCTTGACCATATGTTATTGCTTCGTAAAATAGACAGTATCCATAAACGCCAGTCAGTCTGGTCACAAAAAGAACTCTCTTTCGTGTTAACGTTCTGCTAACAGCTTTCGCCACAGCTCAAACTCCCATTGTACACTACATATTATGTATGTCTTACTCTGGTTTGCCTCAGAAGGCTCAGATCATTATGAAACTTGCCATAACGGTGTGCTTGAATGTGTTTTGTGTTTCAGGAGAGCATGGCAGTGATCCGAAGACTGTGTGTAGAGGAAGGGAAAGGACCAGAGCTGTCGGACAAACTCACAGAGAAGCTGAGTGAGAGTCTGAAGGAAACAGCCTCCCAGAACAGGGTGAGGGCTTGGGTCAAAGTTATCTGTTTTTAGGGGCAAACTTAAAACTGTGGGTAGATTAATTTTTATGAACAGAACAAGAACGATAGATGGAGGTGGAGATCTGTGATACACGAGGGCTTTCCTCATTTTCACTGCATTTATCTCATTAGCATTAGCATCATTTAGGAAAAGGACAACATCATGATTGTAGCGGCAACTCTTCTATTATTGACTGTGTGTGTCCCTCTGTCTCTCTGTGTGTCAGTGTGTGTGTGTCACACACATATACACAGTGTATTTCTGTATAATTGACTGTGTGTGTGTTGCAGGCTGCCCTGGACCGACTGGAGAGGGAGTTGTGTGAGGATAAGCAGAGTCTGGAGCAGGAGCTGGAGACTCTGAGGAAATCCTCCAGAGACCGAGAGAGAGACCTGGACCTGCTGCGGACTGTGCTGCAAGGGAACCAGGACCTAATCCAGGTACACTACTGATCACTACGACTACACAAGTACTACACTGCACATGTTGGAACGAGGACCTCATACAGGTAAACTACTGCTAACTACTAATATGCAAGTACTACGCAACACATATTATATGTTTAACTTCCCTTCGCAGCTGTTGACCTCATACCAGTCTGTTGTTTATTCAAATGAATCTGGGGTCATCTTTATAAATAAAGATTACTACTACTTACTTAATTATTCTCTTGTCTGTAATAAAAAAAAAAAATCTTTAGTAATTATAATAGTGGTAATAAAGTAGAATTGTAGTAATACAAAAGTGATTTGAATTTGGAAGTTGCTTTTTGATCAATTAAATTAAAAATTAACCATGCGAAATCTCCACAGTAGGGTCTTAATGATTGACGAAAATAATTGCCCACCCTTGATCCACGCAACATCAGGAACTTCTGCCGCAAACATTTAACTTCACCCCTTCTATCTAAAAGCTCCTGTCTCAGTCCTGTAATGGTATGATGTCATTGTATCAGGCACACTCAGAGCAGTTTTCTCACTTTGAAAATAAAAAACGCCCATCAATTAAATTTGCTACTTTCTGCAGCTAGGATTCTAGCATTCTTTTTATACCATTTATCTCTTATCTCTCTTTCTAAACTTTGTAATACAAGTTTTAAGCCCGATACTTGTATGTTTTTGATTTGTTTTTATTGAATCTGCATTCAGTTGTGGTCTCTGTGTGATTGTTGTGTGTGTGTGTTGTGCAGGAGCTCCGTGTGTCTCTGTCTCAGAAGGATGAGCAGCTTCAGTCTCTTCACAGTGAGAGGGAGTTGTTCGCTCAGAGAGAGAAGTCTCTAAACGCTGCTCTGAACGACAAAGACTCTCTGCTGCTGTGTCTGAAGCAGGAGCTGGACCACTGCCACGCAGACGTACAGGTGAGACCGCTGCCACGCAGACGTACAGGTGAGACCGCTGCCACGCAGACGTACAGGTGAGACCGCTGCCACGCAGACGTACAGGTGAGACCACTGCCACGCAGACGTACAGGTGAGACCGCTGCCACGCAGACGTACAGGTGAGACCGCTGCCACGCAGACGTACAGGTGAGACCGCTGCCACGCAGACGTACAGGTGAGACCGCTGCCACGCAGACGTACAGGTGAGACCGCTGCCACGCAGACGCACAGGTGAGACCGCTGCCACGCAGACGTACAGGTGAGACCACTGCCACGCAGACGTACAGGTGAGACCGCTGCCACGCAGACGTACAGGTGAGACCGCTGCCACGCAGACGTACAGGTGAGACCGCTGCCACGCAGACGTACAGGTGAGACCGCTGCCACGCAGACGTACAGGTGAGACCGCTGCCACGCAGACGTACAGGTGAGACCGCTGCCACGCAGACGCACAGGTGAGACCGCTGCCACGCAGACGTACAGGTGAGACCGCTGCCACGCAGACGTACAGGTGAGACCGCTGCCACGCAGACGCACAGGTGAGACCGCTGCCACGCAGACGTACAGGTGAGACCGCTGCCACGCAGACGTACAGGTGAGACCACTGCCACGCAGACGTACAGGTGAGACCGCTGCCACGCAGACGTACAGGTGAGACCGCTGCCACGCAGACGTACAGGTGAGACCGCTGCCACGCAGACGTACAGGTGGGACCTATTTATCAAATGTGGACATCTGAAAATATGTAACAAACTTCTGCAGCTCATTCCATCAAAGGATCAGGTCCGTGACACAGATAAACAGACTCTATAGAAAATGTGAACAATGTATGAAACGGTTCTCTTCTACAAACTACTAATGGACTGAAGAGGGATTTGATACATGAAAAACATATTATATCTTCTGATTTTTCAAATCAAATTCTTGGTCTTCTGTCACACTTTTGTACCCTTTACTGTGAACACTTTTTTATCTTTAAGTGATACAATGGAAAAGGATTATATTTGTGTACCTTGTACTTATCTGTGCCATTGCCTGAAATGAATGACTACATGACAAATTAGATGAAATGAAGTGGAGCGCACAGACTCATTGGGGTATGACGCTCTGTTCCTGTGTGCGCCATCGGCATAGATGATGGTCCTCTCTGCTGTACAGTGATCCTCAGTGACCTGTGGTGTTTGTGTTCTTTCTCCTCAGGCTCTCACAGACTCTGTTGAAGCCAGCGAATCGTCCGGAGACACGACTTCGGCTCTTGTCGCTCGGCTGAAGGAGAAGGAGGCCGAGATGGCTGTAGTTATAAAGGAGAGAGAGGAGAACAGCGCCACCATGTGTCAGGAGGTCACTAAGCTCACCACAGCCCTGCAGCAGTATCAGAGTCTGGTGCAGGTGAGAGGGGACTTATAAATATTACTTTTAAAAAGCAGACAAATACAGAGTGTGCCACAGTTCAATACTATTTTGATTCGATTTTGTGATATATCGCGCTCAGGACCGGCCCTAGGCCATCAGGCGTCCTAGACAAAAAAATATCTAAAATATATATATGGCATGGCGCCCCTAAGCGTTTGCCAATATGGCCTTTGCCACGGGTTTGATTGCGCTTCATGTCCCTCATATTATTCAAAGGCATAAAAAAATTGAGGATAATAAGATCAATAAATGTGACATTATGGTCTGCACATGATCTGAAGCATACAACAGACTAGAGTCACAACAAGCATACATCATACATTACCAAAGAAAATTCTGAGAGAAACTGATAATTATTTGATTATTTGACATTTCAATACTTTGCGCACACAATCAATTCAATACAGTAGAGCTAATACTGAACAGAATTGATTTTTCTCCCCCAACCACTAGAGCAGAGTGGATTTGTGTGATCCAAGGCGTCTTGTAGCTATTCCTTATTATCCAACTTTGCAACAGTTATAACTAATTCACTATTAATAATAATAATAATTGATAATCACTTGTTCACGTCGAGAGGAACCAGTTGAGGTGGCTCGGGCATCTGTTCCGGACGCCTCCCTGGGGAGGTGTTCCGGGCACGTCCCACCGGGAGGAGGCCCCGGGGAAGACCTAGACCTGGAGGGTCTGTCTCTCAGCTGGCCTGGGAACGCCTTGGGGTCCCCCCGGACGAGCTGGAGGAAGTGTGTGTGGATAGGGAAGTCTGGGCGTCTCTGCTTAGACTGCAGCCCCCGCGACCCGGCAACGGATGAAGCGGAAGAAAACGGACGGACGGACGGCACTTGTTCAGCCGAACTGAAATGCTGCTGTGTAAACGTACTCCTTGTCTTTGCTTCTGCATAGTCCTCACTCCTGGTTGTGTTTGCAGAGTCAACAGAAGAGCCAGAGCCAGACCCTGTCCTCTCTGACCAATCAGCTGTCAGAGGTGCGTGCCCAGCTGAGGGAGAGAGAGGGCGAGCGAAGGGACAGGGCGAGAGAGCGGGAGAGAGAGAGAGAAGAGAGCCGGCGACAGCACAGCGGACTACTGCACAGTCTGGACAAGAGAGACCAGCTTATAGAGGTGAGACCAGGACTACTGCAGGGTCTGGACAAGAGACCAGCTTATAGAGGTGAGACCAGGACTACTGCAGGGTCTGGACAAGAGACCAGCTTATAGAGGTGAGACCAGGACTACTGCACAGTCTGGACAAGAGAGACCAGCTTATAGAGGTGAGACCAGGACTACTGCAGGGTCTGGACAAGAGAGACCAGTTTATAGAGGTGAGACCAGGACTACTGCAGGGTCTGGACAAGAGAGACCAGCTTATAGAGGTGAGACCAGGACTACTGCAGGGTCTGGACAAGAGAGACCAGTTTATAGAGGTGAGACCAGGACTACTGCACAGTCTGGACAAGAGAGACCAGTTTATAAAGAAATGGTCTTTATGGCTAGTTTTGGAGGCTTCGTCTTTGTAGATTTTTGATATTGGATTCTTCTATATCAGACAGTTTTGATGGCCTGGGATCGCGAGACGCTTTTGAGTAAGATGTCAAAACATATCAAGGTAAAAGCGTTGCGACGTTGCAATTGTCAGTTGAAGAAGAACCAAATACAAGTGGTCTTTATGAATGCTGCTTTAATTCCAGTGCGTTCAATGAAAGTTTGGCGACAACACTAAGAGTTAAAGACACTAAAATCCTGTTTCCTCCTCAGCAAATCCTCCAGGACGCAGAGGAGCAGGAGCAGCTGTTCCGGGAGCTCCAACAGAATCTGCAAAACAAGTTTCAACCCATGCCTGGAATTAAATACACACTGTAGACCCGACTGAACTGGACTGAACCGGACTAGTCCTCCTGTGGTCCTATCCTAGACTGCCCTTATTTTTCTTTTTGCAGAAGAAATTTTACTGATGAAAAGTTACTATACCAAAAGTTTGAACACACTTTCTCATTCAAGGAGTTTTCTTTATTTTCATGACTATGGAAATTGTAGATTCTCTCTGAAGGCATCAAAATGAATTAACTCATGTGGAAAAAAAAAGTATGAAACAACTGAAAACATGCTTGAATATTGTAGGTTCTTCAAAGTAGCCAGTATTTTCTCAATTTTGTGTCTTTTAAAGGCCTGTCCACAATTGCTTTTACATAGTTCAGCCATTTTGCTTTCTGAATCGATCCTACACGGCCGTTTTGGCAGCATTGCACTGGTATTTTTACACAACAGGGAAGAAAATCTGCCGATCGGCAATTAGATTAGAGTCCGAGCCTCGGTCAAAGCTTCGGTGCACAAACTAGTCTCCTTTTTATGGCGCTACTTGAAATCAATAATGAGATTTCCCACAATCCTTCACCACAAGGAGTTTATAAGCCGCAACTGTGAAAGTGAACTTTGCAGTTATGGTAAGTTATCGACATACACACATCAGCAGCACTTTTAATTATTTATTTATGAGAAAACCCTTTTAAACTACTGATATCTGGGAAAATGGATCCCAGCCCAAACTTCCAAATTGTAGATAAATGAGCTCATTCAATTATTTTCTTGCTTTAGAATCTCTGTGAAAAATGCATTTGATTTGAATTAATCTATCATTTAATTTTGTATTTAATTTCTGGACTTTCCTATTGCCCAAAAACACTTATTTCCTCAGATTTAAAAGATGAACAGAATTGCATAAAACTACTTCCAATGATGCCATGAAATATTGAATGTATTAAAAGTGACATATTCCACATTTTTCTCTAAGAAAACAGACTGGATTTAAACAATTGCACTTTTAACAATGTAGCCCAATTTTAGCTCAAATAAAATACATTAGATTTCAAACTTCAAAAATCATTTATTTTTAGAATAAATTTAGCCGCCATGGCAGACTTACAAGGTTTGTAATGTTATTGATGTTCTTCCGTAGCTTCACATTTCGACTGGATTGAGGTCTTTCAAATAATAGGTCATAATTTTTTAGTTTTTGAAGCTGCTTCCAAACAACTGGACCAAATGCAAATGACATGATTCAAATCTTATGTCAATTTGACTTCATTTTGCTGTTTTTGTACAAGGTTGTATTTTTATTTTTTTTACTGTTGGGAAAAGTTTTGGGGAATACTGAAGATGTACGGTACAACACTGGATTGAAACTATTGAAATATTATTGTTTAGACTAATTTAGAGTAATATATTCTAATTTAGGACCAATTTTTATGGGATTTTTGTGTGTGTGTGTGTGTGTGTTTGTGTGTGCAGAAGTTCATGAAAGAATATGCACTCTGAAATACGTTTTCTTTCAAAAGCATCTCTTAAAACCACATTTGTTCTATGTTTGTAAAGCTAAGGTACGTGGCTTTGAATGTCTTTTTTTCTTTTCTGTATTTCGTCACTGCCAAAGAGTTGTTTACAATCATTTTGCATTTAGATCAAGAGAAAATAAAAATCAGATTTAAAATGTACATTTGTGAAGTTTGTGAAATTACATCATTAAACAGCAAAGAATCATTGCATGACCGTTACCAAAGCAACCGTTACAATGTTGACTCAAATGGTCACATTAATGATCTTGGAACTCAAAATGATGATTAAATTACCATGACCACTGTTACCATGGCAACCATTACCGTGATGACTAAAAAGATGATCACTAAATTTCAGCCATTTCATTTCATTTCAAGGCAACCATTAACATAGCAACCGTTACCATGACAACCCATGACAACCATTACCATGGAAACAGTCACCAAGGCAGCCGTTACACTGGCAACCATTGCCATGATTATGAAAATTCATAACTGTATCCATAGCAGCTGTTTCTATGACAACCGTTACCATGACAACTGTTTCCATTGCAACTGTTGCCATGACAATTACTATGGCAACCGTTATGGTGGCAAATGTTACAGTGGCAACTGTTACACTGGCAACCGTTACCATGACAATTGTTTTCATGGAAACAGTTACCAAGGCAAACATTACAATAGCAACAGTTGCCATTACAACCATTACCAAGGCAACCTTTACCAAGTTAACCGTTACTATGACAACAATTACCAGGAAACTGTTACCAGAGCAACCGTTACACTGGCAACCGTTACCATGACAACCATTACCATGGAAAGGGCTACCAAGGCAAACATTACCATGATAATTACTAAAATGTATATAATATACAACCATTACCATGGCAACTATTACCATAGTAAGCGTTACACTGGCAACCGTTACAATGATGACTACATTTAATATGGCAACTGTTACCACGGCTACCGTTGCCATCACAACTGTTTCCATGGCAACTGTAAAATCCGTAACCTTTGTTGACCAAACAAGTAATGAAAAAGGATAATATTTAATGGCAGTAAAATAAAAAGTTTTTCGGTTGCCATCATTTTTGTCATTATTATTTAGATGTTCTTCCATAGATTCACATTAACTGGATTGAGGTCCAGCAAATAATTGGCTCATATGTTTAAAAATATTTTTTTGTTTTTTCAGCTGCTACCAAACAACTGGACCAAATGGAAATGACATGATTCAAAACGTATGTCGATTTGACTTCATTTTGTTGTTTTTGTACAAAGTTGTATTTCTTTTTTTCTTTTTATTACTGTTCGGAAAGGTTTTGGGGAATACTGAAGATGGATTGAAAACTATTGAAATATTATTGTTTAGACTAATTTAGAGTATTATATTCTAATTTAAGACCATTTTTATGTGATTTTTGTGTGTGTGTTTGCGCGTGCACACTTTGAAATAAGTTTTTCTTTCCAAAGCATTTCTTAAAACCACATGTGTTCTATGTTTGTAAAGCTAAGACTTTGAATGCCATTTTTTCTTTTCTATATTTCGTCACTGCCAAAGAGTTGTTTACAATCATTTTGCATTTAGATCAAGAGAAAATAAAAATCAGATTCAAAATGTAAGTTTGTGAACAGTTTGTGAAATTACAGGGAAGAACAAGATGAGTACAATTATTCCAACTTTTATGTCATTTTGATTTGATCTCGAACCTATTACTTTGAACTTTAATGTTTTAGAACTTGCATTAAAGGAGACGTGTTATGCTAAATTCTTTTCAAGTTAATTCAATGTATTTTTGTATAGCCCTGAATCACAACAGTAGTAATCTCTGAGGAATTTACAAAGCTGTCGATTCACCAACAATAGATCAGAGAATCAAACACAAGAAATGCAACGTTAAAAACATAGAGGGGCAGAGACCAATGTCCATAAATGTTGTTGTGTCCTGGATCATTACCAGTTTTTTGAGTTTCTGATCATGTTACAACATTGCCCCTCATCAGTAACGGACGTGTAGTTGTTTTTAAGATCCCTTCATGCTATTATCAGGAACTTCTGGCACAAACACAAACTGTTTAAAAATGTGCTACGTTTGTTCTGCAGGTGTGGAATTGTGACAGCAGGGGGTGCCGTTTCTCTATTAATCAGCAAAAAAAAGAAACAAGAGTTCAAACAATTATTTTATTATATGACAGAATCTTGCGGTGACATCAATTCAATTAAATGTGTATATCCCTAAATCACAACAGTATTTATAGATTGATACTTTTTACTTTATTGAGGAGAAATTCATATATAAATTCCACATCCTTATATGTGTTATGTAAATGTTGATATATTCCTTCATTTTCTACCTCTTTATTAGTCCATTTCTGGGTCAGGGGGGTGACAATCAGAGCTGCCACCCAATTTTCACAGCACCAGTCCCTCTCTGATCCTCTGCAGGTGGGGAGTTCACAGGAAGATGGCTGCTACATCAGTGGTGCCACAGACTTGGTGTTTCAGCAAGAGCTTCAGGCAATGTGGGGTTAAGTGTCTTGCCCAAGGACACAACGACAGCAGACATGAGTGGGAACAGTTGGAGAAGGTCCCGCGATGGGCTCGAATCCACTACCTTCCGGCCCAAAGGCCAATGCTCTATACCAACTGAGCTACTGTTAATATATTAATAGAATATTTCTTCTTTAGGATAATGACCTTTGCACCAATGTCCATACAAGGAAGCATTCATATGTTTGTGTTGTGGAGTCTCTGCCTTAATGTGTGCCTCTGTCTCATCTCTGTCCCTGCCTCAGTCTTTTTCTGTCTTTGTATCTGCCTCAGTCTCTGCTTCTGCCTCTGCCTGTCTCTGCCTCAGTCTTTTTCTCTGTCTCTGCCTCAGTCTTTTTCTCTCTGTCTCTGCCTGTCTCTGCCTCTCTCTGCCTGCCTCACATCGGTCTCTGCCTGTCTCATCTCTGCCTCTGCCTCCGTCTCTGCTTCAGTCTCTGCCTCTGTCTAGGTCCCCCCTCTCATTTGCACTAATACGGTATTTCTCAATGAAACCAAATCTTGAATGGGACACTGAATAATCCATAAAGTCCATTCTGTGGCAGGCAGAGGATATAGGCCAGTGTAATGTGAGATCACTATGGGAGCATGTGAAAGCAGTGTACGGTGACACGGTTGCCAACTCTGTGTGTTTGCACCACTTTAGGAAGGAAACTTTAGACATATCTGTGTAAATGGCTTTGATAGTCACTGGAACATGTTTGTGTGATGTGTGTTCTGGAAAAGATAGTGACTTGGACAAACAAACACACACATAAACAAAAATACATGAAGCTAAGCTTTTTATGCAAACGTTTTGAAACACTTAAAACAGCATTATACTGTTGTAAAAATGTTTCATACTGACCTAGAATATAGCTAACCACAATGAATTCACTTAGAAGCATGGCTAACCACTTAGCCACTAGATATGTCAGCAACAGAAATTGTATTCATTTTTTAAAAGCATGAATATTTTTGACCGTGAATCATGCACAGTAAATATGTTTCAAACAACAATATATTTAAAATAATCCCTCTTCTTGGAATAATCACAACCAGTAAGATTTGCTGGAGGAGAACAGTTGAACAGTTTTTTTTACCAATCACTTTCTCCTCAAAATTAGTAAAGTACAGTAAACATTTTTGGTTACACTCAAGATTTTGCCCTCATTGCCATTAACAACTAATGAAGTGCAATTTAGTGTATAATGTATGGTTAATCAGCTCTTTATTGGTATTTATTAAGGACTTATTATTTCTAATTCTACATGACCTTATTTAACATCTAATTCACTACTTTAACATAAAAATTCAGAATAATACAACAAGAGGCAAATGTAGTTTTTAGTGTTTTGTGTTTTTCTTTTGTACATACACAAGATGGCCGCCATCACCTCAGAGCAGTGCTCTCTAGCTTCATACTCACCTACAGCTTCAAGCTTTTTTCGGGACTCTCCAAACTCTGCGAAGATGGAGCTCGTCAGCCCTGCTCCTCTGGGGTCGGTGACCGTCGGAGGTGCCCCATGGCGGGATGCCACGGTCAACTCTGTGCGGAGAGCTCAGCGGCTGGTGCTGGAGACGCAACCCGGGCCAGAGTCACCTCTCAGGCGTGCGCACACTTTGGTCTCTCTCCCGGAGGACCCCACACCAGAGAGAAGCACCGCGAACCCAGGGGAGAGAGCTGAATCTGGAATCGATGGGAGAGTTCGGCCAAAGACTTCTGGAGACACAGTGAGAGAGAAGATCTATGCTATTGTATAAAGACTAAGGTCCATTATTCGTCACATAGTGAGGAAATGTCAGTGTTGCATCACTAGTTACAGAACAGTAGGAATGAGGAGCACACAGCAACAATTACTCTATAATACAATCAAATATGTATTGATTTATAAGTATTACATCTATAACTTTTGCATAATAAACAAGCAAGTATTTATTTCTAACTTTGTAACATTTCTACTAACTTAAGCAAAATAAAGAAGGAAGTATAAATGTGAATCAGAGGAAATACCTTTTGGGAACCGTTACCATGATAACGTTACAATCATGGATCTATAATAATAACTGGATAGGGTATTACTAGCTCATAGCTGTCCCACCCATGAGCACAGGGGGTGCCCGTGGTTCAGACTAAATTCACGTGGGAATTTAGTCCCAGAAAAAAGTCCCATTGAACTCAATGTAAATTAAAACAGCTTGACCTCAGCTGACAGAGAACCAACAGCTCTCATAAAGATTGGATTTTGTGGGGATTTTAGTGTCCCTTGTCATCCTGCCGCAAACTATATACTCGTTTCCTTCCCACTCTGGCTCCGCTCTACCGCTGCTCTGATCAGCAGCGGTGATTGGTCAAACCGCGACAGAGCCCCTCTGTGCACGTGCACGACAGCCACACACGGACGTTTGGCGCAACGCATCATGGGAGCTTGTCCACTGCGCAGAACCGGGAGTAAGTAAGTAAGTAAGCTTTATTTATATACCGCCTTTCACAGACCAGAGTCACAAAGCGGTTTACAATTGTTATTTTTTGGGCACTTGTCCTCTCACTCCACACAGAGATGGGAGCGGGGTCGCCGAACAGGAGGCGCATGCCAGACCTATTGTACATATTTTTAGTGGTAGGGGAAACCGGAGTACCCGGAGGAAACCTACGCAGACACGGGGAGAACATGCAAACTCCACTCAGAAAGGCCCCCGGGATTCGAACCCAGGACCTTCTTGCTGAGAGGCGAGACTGCTATCCACTCAGCCACCGTGCTGCCGTCTGGTCCTGCTGCCGGGAGGACCAGACGATACCCAAATATAGGCGAGTTCTGCTAATATCTCGGTCCCTGTGAAATCCCATGCGCTACCGAGCACAAGCCATTCATTTGAATAGGGCGCCATCTTGGATCACCAAGGTTACAATAGCAACCGTTATCATTGGAACCATTGCCATGGCAACCGTTATCATTGGAGCCATTACCATGGCAACCCATACACGGCCACGGTTACCGTGAGAACCGTTACAGTGGCAACCATTACCATGATGATGACTAAAATTATTATGGCAACCATTATCGTAACAACTAAAATAATTATCACTGAAATGCAACCGTTACCATGGCAATCGTGCTCCATTGCAACCCTTACATGGCAATGGCTACCGTGACAACTGTTGCAATGGCAACCCTTACCATGGCAACCGTTGCTATGATGATGACTAAAATAATTATTATGGTAACGATACCATGGCAACCGTTACAATGGCAACTGTTACCTGTTTCCATGGCAACTGTTACCATGATGATTACAAAAATTATTATTATGGCAACCGTTACACACACATACTAACCCTTACCATGGCAAACATTACCATTGCAATGGATACCACGGCTGCCATTACCCTGGCAACTGTTCCCATGGCAACTGTTTCCATGACAACTGTTACCTTGACAAACATTACCATGGCAACTGGTAAAATTATTATTATGGCAACCGCTATTGCAATGCACAAGCTTTATGGGTGGCCAAAGGATTAAAAAAGAGCCAGGCTTTGGACGGTATTCATCCAAATCAAGAGGAAGAATTGGCAGCCGTCCGTTGACAGTACTGGGAAGTGTGGTCCGATGTTGTGCTGTTTTGCGAATTTCCTTCAATATCAAAGTGGATACGGCAAAAAGTAAGTAGCACCGTTGGGTGGATGTATGTATGTAGCTAGTTATGTATGTATGTGTACACAACTGCAACTGTATACGGCGGTAGTCCAGTGGTTATCTTACAGCACTTGCCTGCAGTGACCGGGGTTCAAATCAAGGTTCCCTCTTATTTTTTTTTTATACTCGAGTGCACAGTAAACACTGTGCGCCTTTAACTCATTGGTTGCTAAAGACCTTTTAAGAGGTTTTATTTTTAGTAACACTGACTGCAAAGACGTCATATGCCGCTTTTCTATAGTCACAGTGTGATACAATCAGACATTTATTAAAAACAAAAGTAAAGTCCAAAACCAAAAATTTACAAAGTCCAAAGTACGTATGTCTGAAACCAGGTCCAGATGAGGGGAAAGTCAAGTACTCCGGTCACTCATTGCTTCTTGGTAATCTCCTCAATTGTGGGAAAGTATTCTCAAACAAATAAATACACATACAAGCACTTAACAGAATAGCAACACATGAAAGAGCAAGATACAGCACACTAGCACAGTAACGACGTTTTAGCATAGCTTGCTATCAATTGCTAAATGTAGCTAGCTTACTGTGTAAAAGAGACAACCAAACTTTTACACAATTAAATACATTTTATCGATAGCTTTGGGCCAACAGGATACGTAGCTAACCAGTTATTTCCAGGATTACCACACACTAGTCACAAATCAAGAGCTGGGCAATCTCCCTGAAGACCTTCTCCTTCCGTGTTGTGCCGTCAGGCTGTCTTTGAATTCTTTCTTTGGCCACTAAATAGAGTGACGTATGGACCTCGTCGACCGACCAGGATGTTGACTTTTGGGGCTTTCTGTGCGTTTCCATTTCTCTCTGGTGAGAAGGACATATTATAGCAGAGCAGCCGTTTTTTTTTAAGATGGCGGGGTTGAGTTGTGTTTACCAAAGGGTCGCGTCGCTTCCAGTGATGACACTTGTTGGCCAATCTGTGTAACGCAGTCGGCTGACGTCACGTTATGGTGACGTCAGTGGTACAAAAAAAGTATCCAAACCCTGACCCCCAACCCTAGTGGAAATGCAAATACCGTACTGTGCCGTGACTATGGAAAACTATGAAGTTACTATGTAGTTACTTGTTCTGTTCTTTGAAGTACAGGACAAGTCGAAGGTTGATTCACCACTTGTGTTACGGAACGATCTGGCACTGGAGACAAGGTCAGGTTGGTTTATATGCTGCATCTGGTGATTGCTGGGATGTAGATCAGGTGTGGAGCTCTGCAGGTGAGTTCGATGAGGAACCCAAACAGGAGGGAAGGGGGAACAGCAGGGAGAAATCATTACAGTAATAGGAGTAGACCTAGTGATGGCAATATGAAGCCCCATGAAGCCTTGAGGGATCGCAGCCTATTACTCGGCCCATGAGTCGAAGGCTCGAGGTGAATCATGCTCCACTACGCCATCATGTGGACAAAAAAATACATAACACTCTTAAGTGCTTACAATGAATGGTGAGATCTAATGCTAAAATGTATATTTACAATCTATGGTCTAACGTGTTGTGTTTGAAATGATGCTTCATGAACTATGAACTATTTGAGTCTTTCAGTCAATTGTGTTGATACAACAAACACATCCAAAGTAATACAGTTCTACAGAAAGTGATTAATGGAGGAAAAACTACCAAGAGGTGGATTAATTAAACACAACAAACCATTTATTCCCAATAAATAAATACATTTACTTTGCAACTCAAAAGTTATTATGGGAAGACCAGGATTCGAACGCTATATCTTCTGCTTCGGAGTCCGTCATATACCGACTGCGCCACACAGCTGTTGTGAAATGTATCATCCAGCGTATTATTACTAATAACTTGAAGCCTTGATATATGAGGTTTTACTAAAGTGAAACGTTTTTAATTGTATTTCATATGAAGTAGTTTCTCTATACTTAGTACAGGACTGCTCCACATCACGCACACACACGTACGCACACACACACACGTACGCACACAGAGGCAGACGGGGACAGCCAATACAGTCTATGGTACAGCCGCGGATCACAAAGCACCTGTCAAAGCAATGCACTCTCCGAACTATATGAAGCACTATATGAACCGTCACGTGGTGCGGCCGCTACGCGAGGCTTCGAACGTCACCACATACGTCACCAACACACGCCTCGAACCACGCTTCAAAAAATACGCCCCTTTTTTACTCGGTACACGCTTCGAAGACCCGGTGTTCTGCCGAGTTGTGCCGCTCTGCCAAAAAGTGACGCTTATGTAATGCTCAGCTGTTAATGATGTAATGCAAACCTGCGCGCATGCGCGTCTCACGGCAGCCGAAACAAACCAAGATGGCGGACAGAAAGTCCGAGAATTGCCTTTAAAAGTTATAATACGAACGAAATAAGACACGAATGTCACTTTTAATGCAATTTGAGGCGAGATGTTGATGGTTCCGTGTTGGCACATGTGGGTTTTAAGAGTCAAACTTTCGGGTAAAGTTTAGTTTAAGCAGTCAACTGCACCTATGAAACCACTATGCTTATGTTATGATAGCAGTCCTGGCAGCTGACGTACGTCCTTTTTTGCGCATGCTCAAATCAGACTTGTTTTCTCTTCTACCCGAAGCTGAAAACACACGTGAGTATGGCTCTCCGTTTTCAAATGGCATATATTTCAATTGTTTTAACGTTCTATCAGCGAAATTCATCCTGTGATTTGATAGGGGCTTAGATACATCGATAGGTAGTGAAACAAACGCTGTGTAAACGACTTTTTAGTAAAAGTCGTTTACAGCTGGCGTGTGAGATGAACCAACATGCTATGTAACGCTACCAACAGTGATTACTCCTAGCATCACCATCTGTGGTACAATTACCATCTCAATGCACTAGTGTTTCATTGTAGTGCATTGAGATGACAATGTTTCATTAATCGGATTATCAACATGATTTATATCAATTGAGTCTTTAGAGATTGTCATTTTTTTAGTTATTGTTACATACTGATAGCATCTGTCTACGTTGAATGCTATATCTGAGTCTTTATACATTGTATTATGAAGAGGAAGATTTTGCCATTTAATGTATTTTGTTTTATGTTTACTCTGTGTT